AGGAACGGCATGATTTCCACATCCCTGTGAAAAGGCTCAGCTGGTTGGACCCCATGTGAGCAGAGACAATCCTCCTTTCATTCACTGGCCATGTTATTCATCCAAGGACTGCAGTGTTTGCATCAAGCAGAGCTTTCCAGATCCAGATTAGGAAATTCTAGAATGTCTCTTAGACCAGTGGTTCTCACAGTTTAATGAGCACGTGAATCATCTGGAGATCTGGATAGAACACAGACTCTGATTCAGTGGGTCTGGTCTGGGGCCTGCAATTCTGCATGTCTGACATGCTCCCAGGTGATGTTGATCCGTGGGCTGGTGGGCATGAAGCCTCTGACGCTACCTCTCTCTACACACTATCTGTCACTCTGTTAGGAAGTGTCACAAAGCACATTCTGCATTCCCTCTAAAGTGCAAATCCCTGAAGATCTGAGGCCCTGGTCTAATTCATCCTAATACTTCCTGTCGCAGTGGAGGTGAGCTGGCCTCAGTGGGCTCTCATGAGCATTCTGAGCTCCCACTGCAGTGGGCAGGGAGAGAGGTCATGGCTGCTGGAGAATTAAGCCATTTCACAGCCTTGGGGTGGCATCGTGGTCAAGGCTAGACTCCCATCCCTTAGGGAAGGGAGGCCCAGGATCTAACAGTCCCTAGTGCCAGGGGGCCCATCAAGATAAGAACTCCTGACTGAAAGGAAGGTGTCAAAGTCAGAGTTAGCAGCAGGAAAGAGGCAGATGTGACAAAGTTTTCATATCTTCTACCCGGGTACAAGATTTTCCAATAAATAGCTGAGCACTCGTTGCAATATCATAGATGATAGAAGTGTCCTTGTCTTTGTTACATTTCCCAGATGTCCCCAAGATGTTTGTATACCCACAGCCCATTAGCCACACAACAGCCAGGTGATCTTTTAATAACATAAATCTAATTCCTTCATTCCTCTGCTTAAAGTGCTCCAAGGGCTTTCCATTCTTCCTAGGATAGAACACAAACTCTAGGAGTCCTGCCTAACCTGACCTGCCCACCCACTTCCCCCATGGTCTCCCCACTGTCCTCCAGGCTCACAAAGCTTCATCACTCTGGCCTCCTTGCTATTTGTCAAACGTGTCAAAGTCATTCCCATCCCAGGGGCTTTGCACTAGCTGTTTTTCTTCAGGTGTCATCACTGCTTTACCTTCGAAGCCTCTGGTCACAGGAAAGGTTTTCACAGCAAAGCAACTCCAAACCCTCTGATTTTGTGGGTTTGACATGGATTTGTTTTTCTCTTGATTCTTACCTAGTTGAAGCATGGGACAGTCTGACACCTTCATGTTACAAAGAGGGGACTGAAGCCAGAGACAGAATGAGACTTCAAGCCGCTCAGATTTTGGGGGGCAGAATTGTCAAGGACAGACCCAGGGGTTGTAACTTGGACTCATGGGGAAGGAAATTTAATCTTAACATTCTACATACTACTTGGACCTGCTGCATTTAACAATATTTACAATATTTTGTCATAATGCTCCTCCCTCTTTTTTTTTGGATTTTGTCTTTGCTGAGTCCAAGGTTGTACATAGGAAGCTACAGACAATCCTGGATTTCTCTTCCATTTGTGTTACCTTATTTTTCTTGGTCACAAAATACACTTTTTGAGACCAGAAGAGGGTGATTTGTAATTTATGGATTTCTCTCTAGGAATTACAACCAGAACCTAATTTAAAAAATCCAATTGGTTTCATCTAATTAAATTTGGAAATTGCCTCATAAACACATATTCTGTTATAAATGTCTTTAAAAGCAAAGTCTCCTGCTTACTGTCTGGGGCAGAATTGGGTTGAGAGCAGCGTGGAGGGGACGTCCTGTCTCTGCTCAGGAGGACACACTCTCTTGTCAAGTGCTCAAACTTTCTAAAGGGTAATGTGGTCTAGAGCGGTGCTCCTCAAACATTAATGCCCATATGAATCACCCAGGGATCTTGTTAAAATGGGGACTCTGATTCAGGCGGTCTGGCGGGTCTTGAGATGCTGTATTTCTATTCAGATCCCAGGTAATGTTGATGCTGCTGGTCCACGGACCACACTGCGTAAGGGGCAAGACATCCACACTTATATTCAGGACTCATGAATTGGCCATATTGGCTGGATCACCTTCGTCTTTTCACTTCATCACTCTGAGTCTTAATTTCCTCATTTTTATGTAATGATAAGAGCTAACATTTATTAATGCTATTTCTAAATGCCAAATACAGTACTAAACATATATTTATGTTTATAAATAAATTTAAATGAGAGGTTACATAATATACCCAAGGTTACACAGCAAGAAAGTGGCAGAGCTGGGATTCAGAACTAAGCTGTCTGATCTCAAAAGTCAACATTCTTAACTTCTGAGGCCTTGCCAGCATGTGATACACATGGTGTCACAGCCATGTTTATGGCCTAAGTCCACAACCTTAGCTCCCTTCACAGCTTCATCCAAGGATTTTGACATGTTCCCAGAAGGCAGCCTCAAATGCCCACAAGTAAATCAGTCAATTTCAGCTTTCTAGCTCTGGGTCTCTGTCATCAGAACCCAAGTAGCAGCCAAGAAGCTACTTGAAGATGTCTCACCATAGCTGTTTCCAGTAGAATCCATCCTGGGAATGCCAACATCCCTGGCATCTGGTCTTCGAAAATCCACAAGGCACTGAGTTCACATAAAAGTGAGAAGAAAGGTGCATTGTCCCAATCTGTGCCCACCTTTGCACCCAGAGCTCCAGAGTATGTATCATATAACAATGCCTCAACTTCAGGAAGCTATTGCTCAAACAGGGTGTCTAACTCACACTTGCGTTTGCATCCTTGTTCTCTCTATATTTCTTTTTGCTTATCCTGGAATAGCAGTCAAGAGTTTCCTCTCCCAGTCCACTGCATAATCCTGTTAGAGGAAGAGGTATATTGATCCCCAGGAAGACGTCTGTGCCCACATATGACTCTGCCTGCAAAATGGCCTAGATTAGTGGTTTCCAAGAGCAGGTAGGTACAAGGACCAGGGTCTTTTCAAGACAAGTTGTCATCAACTCAAGGCAAAATGAATAAACATAAGGAGGGTGTCATGAGTTATTCATAAGTCTACATTTCAATTTGAAGGAATGCCTTTTATTCTGAAATTTTGTCCTAGCTACATTTTTGAAATTATGTCTTTTATGAAATGATGCTAATAAAAGATAGTGAAGTATTCCATGTTGGTTCCCTCAAACCTTTTGCAGTATTACTGGCCTGTGAATTCCAAAGTTCTTGAATATCTGACATAGAGAGCCATTTATATAACAGTACCAAACAACCAAACTCTCTAAATTCTGAGTCCTTTCCCTCTGCTTTACAAAGAACAGGTTGCCGCACACAATAGATCTTGATTTCATTTGTGTGTGTATAATTGTGGCCTCTGCTTTACAAAGAACAGCATGTAGCTTTGAAATGATTGTTTCAGTTGAGTTTCCAGCCCCTCACTTCCCTGAAAAGGTTTTGAAAACATCCTAGACAAGGTCTATCAGTATGAGTACCATCCTTCCTCTAGCAGCATCCTCGAGAAAGAAGCTTCTCCCAACCCTGTGGGCCAAGATGGCTCATAAATGGTGGGGTTGGATGTCTGCTCCCTCCTTCCATGTGCTGACCCTAAGAGCTTCACCAAGCTCCCTACAATTTCTAAAATGGAGATGCTAGCTCTTCTGAGGAAGGCTGGATCTAGTGACAAGGCGTTTTCTGAAGGTATTTTCTCAAAGACTTTGTACATGATGCATAGTTTTCTCCTTCCTCAGAGAGCTCTGAGGTCCATCCAGGTCTCTCTATAGAGCTTCTGTGTCCATCAGATTAACCATGAATGTTGTTCTCTCCTCAAGTACTCCTTGACTTTCTTCCCAGAGCTCATCCTCCCTTATGGCAGAGATGTTCTTCCCCAAGCCTACCCTCAATAGGTGTACGTGTCTCCATGAGCGCTCTGTGTCTTAAGTTCCTCCATGGGGTTGTCGTGCATTTCAGCCTGGAAATGTTTGTATCCTCTCCCCCTCAGACTCCCTAGAGGAACCCTGAAGCGGTGATTACCACCCCCATTTTACAGATGAGGAAACTGAGGCTTGGAGAGAGGAAGAACTTGCCAAAAGTCATTTGAGACTATGGTAGAACTACTAAGATACTAGATTCCATTTGTCCAGCTTTGGCTTCCATGCCCTTCCCATGCATTGCTGTGTTTTTATATTGTAGCCTATATCTCAATCTCCTGGTGTCTCAGGTTATAAGGGGTGAAAGGAGAGTAAATCTTGTTCACATCCCAATGCTAGAATTTAGTGATGTCAGCCTTATTGTTCTTCTGTTTGTTTGGTTTTGTTTTGCAATGAATTAGAGCAATTTGTTCTAATTTTGCAAGTTTTCAGGAAGCCACGTTGTGTTGGCTTGATGGGTGTATTCCCGCCTGAGGATATGATAAGGCTCTGCTAATCCTGGGAGGGGAGCTTTTGATTCCATCACCTAGGTGACAAAAACAGATGCCTTGGCCACAGTATGAGCACCTCTTATACTGCGAGAGTACCTCTCGTGCTGCAACGTGAGAGCTCAAGGATCATGTACCCCCAGAGTAGAGAATGACACTGGGATTCTTTTGGAAGCCCAGGGACTGATATGGGTAGGATGAGCATCATGTGAGAATTGCAGTTTTCCAGATGAACTGTAACTACTGTTTGCCAGGCCTGGGTCTTCGCAGGCAAACTGGGGTAATCTGACTCCCTGAGTCCTGACCCCTTTGCTGAAGAGATCAAAAGTCACCTCAGTGCATGGCATGTCCAATTGTCTTTGTCACTGGGGCCATGAAGACACCTCAACAGTACATGCTTATGTTTTCCTCTCACTGTATTGTCAGAAACCTTTTGGTAAGTTGAGTCTCACTCACCTCCATGTCCTCAATAGAGCTTTGCACACAGTAGGTATTCACCAACTTCCAGCTGAAGTCAATTGAAAAAGCCAAGGCAGCTGATACAGCAAAAGGGACCACCTTACCTCATAGAGTGTGATGACCCCATTGGTCTCATTGGGAGGTTTCCACTGGATGTAGATCTTCTCCTCAAAGGGCCCCCCTTGGATGGATTCTAGAGGAACAGCTCCTGGAACTACAGAAGGGAAAAGTTAGGAACTTAATGGTACCTTCTATCTCATTTCTCCAGCTCCATTGACCTAGAATAGGAGCCGGAGAAGTCTTCCTATAAAGGATCAAATAATAAACATTTTAGGCTCTATGGGCCATACAGTCCCTGTAGCAGTTACTCAACTTTGTGCTTGTAGCACAAAACAGTCGTAGACAATCAGTAAATGAATGGGTGAGGCCGCATTCTGATAAAACTTAATTTCTAAAAACAGGCAATAGGCTGGAGTTGACCCATGGGCCGTAGTTTGCTAACCCCTCTCCTGGAAGGCCAATGGCTTTTCATTTGCAGGCTGAGCAAGTTTGTTCTTGAACTAAACCTGACCAAGGTAGGGAGGGCATCAGTAGGCCCCAGACCTGCCAGCAGGTGGGATTTTGGAAGTAGCTTCTTTCCTTGGGATCGCTATTTGAGGAAAGAAAAGTGAGTTTCGCTATCGTTTTCCTAACCCTTCCAACATTTTTCCAGCTACAGGAAGTGCTCCCTCAGTTTCCTAATTCCTGAATACAGCAGGTACAATATGCCTTGAAACCTCAATCCAATTAGAAGCAGCTTGCCTCACTCCAAGAAAGCAGCTAGTTCATCTCACTGCTGAGTTGCCAATGCCTGGCACATGGTAGACCTTTAATAACCATTTGCTGTTTGGGCAAATAGGTGAATAAATGACCTACGCCAGCATTTTGCCCTAATGAGCAAAACCCTTCCTGGACTGCTTCTATACCCAGGTCAGTCTTCCTGCCAGCATCCTCCTGCTGGATTCCACCATCATTATGACAGTCTGGAGGATGCTGAACCATACAATGAATGATTCCCCAGACTTCCAGTTATAACCTTCTAAAAAATCATGAATTCATGTAAATCGTTACCTGATCTATTTATATTTTGGCATTAGAAAAGCAGGTATTTTTACTAAGCGCTTACTCTTTGACCAGAATTTTACATACATTACCTCATCTAAGTGACAGAACAGCTCTGCCCAGTATGTATTTTCTCCATTGAGCTGATAGAGAACCGAGGCTAAGAGAATTAAATAACTTGCTCAAGGTCATATGGCTCTTAAGTTGTAAAGAGGGAGCTGAACACCTGTCTGTGAGCTTCAAAGCATATACTCTTAATCATCACACTATGCCTCTCTAGATTTAGCCGTGACCATATGTTGGAATCAGTTCCCTATTGTTAAATTAAAACATATTTAGTTTTTGTCATTATGGACATGATACACAGAATCTGTTGAATATTAAGACTATACAAAAAGGTTAAAAAAAGAAAACAAAATCATTCATAATCCCCATAACTGCAGATATTTTTCCCGTATTTTTATGCCTATGCATATGTATATTTTAATTTTAAAAAGTAAACTCCTACTGTGTATGTTGTGTTGTGACCTTCTTTTATTGCTAAATAAATCACAGATTAAAAAAAAAATCCTTAAGTGCTCTTTGGGGCCATGCATTTTAATGGCTGCTCAGAGAAGGATACGACCCATTACAGTCACCAATCCTTTATTATTGGGCATTAAAGTTGGCTTGAATTCTTTACGATTATAAGTAACACTGCAATGAGCATTCTTATAAATAAGTATTTGCATGCAACTCTGCTGATGTCCCTAAGATAAATTCTTGGAAATTAATTTATTGGGCCAAAGTAGATGAACTACTTTACTTTTAATGCTTTTGACACATATTACTAGATTGTCTTCCAGAAAGTTTCTACCATTCTTGGCTCCCCAACAGAAGAATATGCCTATTTCTAATCCTTGCCAACACTGACTATTTAAAAAATTAAGTGTACGTGTGTGTATCTTTTTTAAAATGCTGGAGAGTGCAGATTTGTTTCTCTGTTTAATTGGCCATTTGCATCGATTCTTTTATGAACATGCTCTCTATACCCTGTGCTCATTTTCCTGTATGGCTCTTCATTTTTGCTCATCGTTGTCTTACGGGTTTGTAATTATAATCTGTTTTTAAGGACATAGCTTTTTTGCATAGGTTACAAAAATTTTTGCCAGTTTTTTCATTTGCTTTTTAAATCTTTTAGGTGTGTAGGAGCTTCTAAGTAGTCAGATCTCTTATTGCTTCTCCTTATCCACTAATTGTTTCCACAAATATTTGTTGAATATTTAATATGACCAAGGGACTGTGGTGGACACGAGGGGTACACTAGTGACAGAGAAAGATATAGTCAAATTCTTGATAAAGCTTGTATTCTGGAAAGGGAGACAGACATTAAATAAATAATTACACTCCTAATTAATTTTCTTAAGTTGTTATCAGGACTTTGAGGTAAAGGTACAAGGTGTTGGGAGAATTATAACAAGTAGAAAAAATCTAGTCTGGCAAGTCAGGATAATACGTGGAAAATAAGTGAGAGTTGATGGATAAATAGAAGTTCCTAGGGCAAAAGGGTGGAGAATGGATGTTGAAGTGTGATGAACACCATTGTGAGGGCCAGAGGGGAAGCAGAAATGCCACCCTGGGGAGAAAAGATGGTAGCTTGGACTAGGGCAATGGTAGTAGAGAAGAGAGCAGGCTGTGTAGGAGATTTGAGGGTGCCAAACTAACATGATTTGGTGGTGATGGATAAGGGTGAAGGGGGGAAGAGATGTGTCAGGGAAGCTCCCAGATCTTCTGTTTTATACAACTGGGGTGGATCAGAGAGTTGTTCACAGAGAGGGAGCCTAGAAGAGGACTAGTTTTGGAAAGGAAGCTGGTGAGCTCAGTTTTTGCCATATTTCATTTGAAGTGTGTGTCAGACACCCAAGTGGCGATGTTGAGTAGTAACTGGATATATGAGACTGGGATCAATGTTTAGAAATTGAAACCATGGGCAGGGAATAGATCTTGTAGCAAGAGTGTAGAGGGGAACAAAAAAAGCAGGTCTAGGGGCCGTCCCCCCGGCCGAGTGGTTGGCTCCACTTTGGCGGCCCGGGGTTTCGCTGGTTTGGATCCTGAGTGTAGACATGGCACCACTCATTGGGCCACACTGGGGCAGTATCCCACGTGCCACAACTAGAAGGACCCACAACTGGAGGGATTTGGGGAGAAAACACAGAAAAAAAAGCAGGTCTAGGACGAAAACAAGAGGAACTCCAATCTTAACAATTAGGATAAAACAAGGAAATGGAGAAACTGGGAGGCCATGTTCAGAGAAACAACCAGAAAACCAAAAAAGTGAGCTGTGATTGAAGCAGACAAGGGAGGATCAAGAAGGGACTGCTTAACAGCAACAGATGTGGCTGAGTAGTCAAGTAATATGCAACCTTATGTCTCCCCATTGAATTTAGCGTCTTCAAGGTCACTTGTGACCCGAGCAAGAGTAATTTAGGGAGAACGTTGGTGTCACAAGTCATCCTGCAGTGGGTGGGGATGAGAGTGGAAGGGGAGCGATTGTGCTGAGACAAGTAAACTATTTTGGCTGTGAAAGGGAGGGGAATGCAAGAAGAAGCAGGGATGACACATGGAACCTAAGTAGTGCCCTCTCCCAAGACGGGAAAAATCTAAAACTGAAGTAAGAGGTAGAAAGGTGGGAAAGAGAGAGAGAATAACTGACATTGGCAGGGTCCTTAAAAGGCAGGAGCAGGGCAGGTGGAAAGAAAATACTTTCCCCTCTGTAAGATAGGAGAGGAAAGAAACGTGCAGATGATCTGGAGGGGGAGTTGAGCTGTCCTAATGCCTCCATTTTCTTGAGAAGAGAGGGTAAAACCATCTACCAAAAGTGCAGTGGAGGAGGAGTTTCCTCGGGAATTTGGGAAGAGTAGAGAAGGTTTATTCACTGAGAAGTGGAACGCAAGCTGAATACAGAGATGCTGACACTTTAATCCATCTGGAATCTATCTTACATATTGTACAAAGTAGAAATCTAACTATAGTTCTTTAGAGTTTTCTTAAGACAATCAATTGACTAAGTCAGAACTTCCTCCAGTGATTTAAAATGCCATTTTATTACCATGTTAAATTATTATACATCCTGGCATATGTTGTGTGGCTTTCTGTTCTATTTCATTGAGTCATAACTTCTACTCTGACAGTATCTCTCTGTTGTGTTGATATAACATGCTCTGATAGTCAATAGAACAAGTCTTTTTCTTTTATTGTTCTTCATTTGCAAAGTTTTCTGGGCTACCACTATTCTTTTATTCTTACAGAAGAAATTTGGAATAATTTTATGAAACTTCAAAAATGTGCCACCAAAATTTTTATTTCAGTTGCATTCTTCACTTCTTTGGGGGGCAAATGACACCTTTTTATAATGCGTACTCCTACCAGTAATACTGTATAATCTTTATTTATTAATGTTTCTTTTTAGCTCCCTCAGTTGAAAAAGATATTTTTTTAAAATTTCTTACAAATTGTATTCCTAGGACTTCCTTACTTTTGCTCATATTATTTTTGCATTATATTAAAAAGTTTCTCTTATAAAACATATAAGATAAAAGTATATGTAATAAATGCACAGCTTAAAGAATAATTATGAAATGAACACACATATACCCGCTATCCACTCTCAGAGATAAAACATCACTGTATCATTGAAGCATCCTGTGTGCCCACACTGTTGACTTCTTCTCTCTTCCCTCACCAAAAAAAAAAAAATCGTATACTATCCCGAATTTTATATTTATATTTATATATATTCTCTTTATATTTATTTGGAGTTATAAATATATACATTTATCCCAAGACAAAATACCATTTAGTTTTTCCTGGTTTTCTTTACATATACATGGAATTGTGTGTTTGTATTGTGCAATTTGCATGTGTCACTCAACATTGTTTTGAGATTCATCCATGTTGACACATGTAGTTGTATTTCATTCATCTCCATTTTATGAATATAGTCTTATTTATTTTACCATCTACTATAGATATACATTAAAGCTGTTTCCCAGTGGGGCTATCTTAGAGCACTGCTCCTATGAATATTTTTGTACATTCACTTGAACATATACAAGATTTCATTAAGGTACACGT